CAAGCTTTACAATGAGCTTCAGCTCATTCTTTAGCTGATCCGAACAGGAACGACCAGGCATTTTCCCCTCAATATCTACAACAAGTGCATTCACTTATTGAAGTAACTTCACACTTTAATTTATGGGTGACCCTGGCCCATGAAGTAGAGAGTGTTCGCCGTGGTCGTATGGTTGGCGGTTCAAATCTTGGTGGCTACATGTAACATTTTGAAGTGTCCCTGAGCAAGACACCTAACCTGCTCCCCGGGCGCCTCTATGGCAGCACAATGCTGGATGGGTTAAAGACAATCATTTCCCCACGGTGATTAATAGAGCATACTCTCTTCTAATTACATTACATTACATGTCATTTAGCGGACGCTTTTATCCAAAGCGACGTACAATAAGTGCATTCAACCATAGGGTACAAACTCAGGAGAACAAGAAACAAGAAAGTGCAATTTCCTCAAATAAGCCCATTTACAATTTGCTATAGATGAGTGGCGTTATAAGTACAATTTAAGTGCTACAATTTGTTAGTCTTTTAGTCGACGTAGAGTCTGAAGAGGTGTATCTTTAGTTTGCGGTGGAAGATGTGAAGGCTCTCTGCGGTCCTGGTGTAATTAATTAATTAACATGAATTGCTGCTCAGCAGCAAACAGCAGACTCTGCAAGGGACCTTGGACATAGCAGAGCGTTTAGCAGCTTAAGAGACATGACCTCATGCTTTGATGTAGACAAAGCAGAGCTAAAAGAGACACTATTGTACTCATTTATCGGTTGACACAAACACTAAAACTCCCAGGAGTCCTCATTGGATGACCAACATTCATTTTTTTATTTTAAATTCTACAACATATAAACTCAAATTCAACAATCTGTTAAGGATGTGTTCGCCTCCTATTTCTGTTGAAAACAAGTTGACACATCCGTTCAAATAATGTAGAAGTTCACAGTATCACATCTGACAGGTGACACAAGTTGAAACCATATTCATGGAGCATCTGTAAGTGTGGTGCAGTCACATTATCGTAGTATTCACATGTTGGATACCTGATAGTCACGAGTATGACGTAGTAGATCATCTCAGAACATCAAAGGAAGAACAGAAAACATGAAGGTGATGGTGATGGTTCTTCTGCTTACAGGGAAAGAGATGAGGAAGGCTAAACTCTCCAGGAGTCGATCCCTCAGCAGTCAGCCGACAAAATCCAAGCCTACCAACTCAGACAGACCTGTGTAAGAACTGCTCTTCACCTCAACACCAGCTTCAGGCTTCAGTACCTCAGGGTCCGGTTCAGCAGCTCAGGATTCGGTTCAGAGCCTCAAAGTCCCGTTAAGATGCTATGGGTGCAGTTCATCAGCTCAGGGCCCGGTTCAGTACCTCAAGATCAGGCTGAGCACCTCAGGGTTCAGTGGGTCAGGGTTAGCAGCCCTAGGGTCTGGTTCAGTACCTTTGGTCAGGTCCAGCAGCTCGGGTCCGGTTCAGCGCCACAGGGTGCGGTTCAGCAGCTCAGGGTCTAGTTCAGCAGCTAAGCGTCCGGTTCAGTACTTGCTTGCAGGCCGTGTTTGTCAACCACATGTGTTCTAGTGTAGTAATGTGATGCCAACATACAAAATGTGATAATATACACATCAAATCTTACTCCCAGTTTTTGTCATGGTGAAATCTCCATGACACTTCTTACTCGTTTTACTTTGGAAGGGAAATTCTGCTCCAGGTCCAAAGTTTCTTGATATGCATTATTATTATAAGATGATTTAAAGACCATTGCCTGCTATTATATTTTCAATCTGGAGTATCTGTGTTTGTTGGAATATTTGTTGAGAAGCGCTTGTGTATATTTTTGGCTAACGAGTATTACTAGTCATAGTTATTTAATCATAGTGTGAAGGGAAATTCTGCTCCAGGTCCAAAGTTTTTTGATATGCATTATTATATCTGAGCTTAGGGGGAGAACATCATACCCATCTTGATGTAGAGGCTCTTATTTGTGAGGTAGGAAGCAAACCAGTTCAATGCAGAACCATCAACTTCAACTATTCCTCGTACGTGGTTCAACTGAGTTGATCAATTGTCCCATTATCCAGCTCAAATTAACGAGATGATTGATATCAGGCTATCTTGGTTCCTCAAAGGCTGATCCGCGCTCAAACCGTCTCGTTAGTTTGAGCCAGATGTCATCAGGATAATTGCGCGTCCTACATTAGAGTCGATCACCGAAACACCAGAAATTTATAAAAAGGTACAACGGCAACTGGACTTAAAGGAAGAGGGTCTTTTTTTCTCCGCTGACGAGCAGGAGATGATCATGAACGCATACAATGCAATGCTATGTGCATTTGAATCATTTCTGATGTATGAATTGAACGTATTGTACATATTTTACGTGGTTCATTCTGTACATCCATCGCAGTCTGTCCATCCCAGGGGAGGGTTCCTCCTCTGTCTCTCTGAAGGTTTCTTCCCTTTATTCTCCCCATCGAAGGGTTTTTCATTGTTCGGGGAGTTTTTCCTGTGCCATTGTTTCATGTGTTTCATGACGGAGGATGTCGCATGTGTACAGACTGTAAAGCCCTCTGAGGAAAATTTGCGATTTTGTGCTATAGAAAATAAAATTAATTGAATCAAATAATGATGGCAAAAACGGACACCACCCCCCTGTGAGGGCTACAAGCCCGACAAAGTATTGCAGGCAAGTTGAATGCGCAAGTGCTGGGAAAATGTATAGGCTCATGGAATGTGTCAAAATACAATGAGATTTTGCTGGTGAAAATAATGATCCCAACTCCGAATAAGTAGATCAAAACAAGCCCAATGAGTATAATTGATACAAATGAATAGTTATGAGGATATATGTACTGTATATGCTTATGTATCATATGTATGTGTCTATATGTATGCGTAGATGACCATATAGATCTAGGAGTTTTATGTGTGTGTGAATATGTGTATGGGTGTATGTTTGTACTACTCATAATCAGAAATTTGAGCAACTGAAGTAGTAAAACATGGAACATTCAGAAGTTTATTAAGCGATAAATAAACCAACAAAACTTTACTAGGAGCACGACATGCAGCGGCGTTCCAGATGTTCTCTGCATCGCAACACTGTGCAAACATGGACAGCATGAGAGCCAGTGTGTGAGACAGTGGGAGAGAGTGTGTGAGACACTATGAGACAGGGCCCAGACCTGGAATATCATGGTCCACAATGTCAGGCTCCGATCTGAGACACAGTTTTCTGGATCCTCAGAGCAAGTTTCAAGTGTACTTGATGTTTTGTTTTTTTTATGTTCTTTTAGGAAAGTGAAAGATTTTAGCAGCATGTCTGGACCCGGGAGGTCCTCCATGTCACTGAGCAAAGGTACTGCCTCCTTACATAAGCCTGCATCCTTAACACAGACTCTAACTAATCTAACTTCAGGACTTCAGAACCATCACAGTGGAGAAGGCCATGTGATGGTTTTAATTTACAAATTATTTGTTTTATAGACGAACCCTTGAGGACTGCACATTTCTCTACCACGACCCAGTCCACCTCCTCCATGCCAGTCCTGATCCACAGCAACACCACCAGCCTCCTGGAGAGGACCAGTATACTGGATCATAGGGCCAGCAGCCTGGATCAGAGAGATCACAGAGCCAGTACACTGGACCACAGAATCTGTAAAATGGAACACAGGAACAATATGATGGAGCAGATAACAGGTACAATGGACCAGAGAGACCTTAGAACTGCTACCATTGATAAGAGAGACCAGAGGACCAGCACCCTGGACCAGAGAGACCACAGAACCAGTACCCTGGACCAGCACAGTAAAACATTGGAACGGGGGTGTGCAATAAAGGACACGCAGTCCAGAAAGCTGTTGATGTGAGTTCTTACTAAATGTTCTGGGGGGGAAATCTCACAAGTTTATGATCAGACGAGTTTATCCCAGTTTGTAACCCAAAGTCCGTCAGACCAGAACAACGACTCATTCAAGCTTATTGAACCAATCACAGCGTTCGTGTGGATCTGCTGTGAAAACAGCCCTCCAGCACAGTAATTAAAGGAGGAGTCAAGAGAACCTTTGGACTCATTTTAGAGGTTTAAGACATGTTTTGGTGTCTTTGTCCTTTGTGGTTCCACAGTAAGAACATCGATCAATGTGGTTCTACAATAAAGACATAGATTAATTTGGTCCTGCAGTAAGAGCATAACATGATGTGGTTCCACAGTCAGATTATAAATGAATGCAGTTCTACGTCAGAACATGCAATGACTTGTTCTTGTGGTACCCAACCACCAGGTCCGCAGGTGTCGTCCAATCGTCTCTATATGAACACTAATTTATTCATAGATCTTAGTTAAGGTCTGGATAATCAAACTTTAGCGTTGCTATTGCTTAATTCAATCAAAAGTTTTGGATTGAAATCGTTTATGAGCCTTTTTCTTTTATTCTACAGGAACAGGAAGTCAAACAGTGTCCAGTCGGGAAGAGACTGAAGACCATGGTGTCATTGTTCTTCCGCCAGATCATGAGCCAATCAACAGTGAGGGTTCAAGTCTAAAGACGGGCTTACCTAGAATACAACAGGACATCCTGCCTTGCAAACAGAGACAGTAGAGTCTGACTTAAATGTTCTGAGCACTGTGTATTCTAACGATCTCATCCTGTCTCCCGATTGGTCCAGTAAATACACATACAACCTGCTGGTGATTTCTTATTGGTTGGTGCTACACACGTGATTGTGTGTTTGTTTGGATGATTTTTCTCCCTCTCTGACATTTATTGCCAAAATATGTTAGACATATAAGGAATTTGACGTGGCGGTTGGTGCATTACTGTCTGATGTTATGCACCAACCGCCATGTCAAATTCCTTGTATGTCTAACATATTTTGGCAATAAATGTTCCTGATTCCTGATAGCTCAATGTAATTGAGTTCCAATTGTCTTTTTAAAATATACCATGTCACATGGGATGTTTGATAACATCGTGTTTTGCATGAATGAAATAAGACAATCAGAAGTTCCTTTTAATATTTAATATTTCAAGTGGCTTTAAATAAGTACAGGAAGTTTTCAGACATGCAAAAGGTTCAAATGCTACGATAGCACTCATCATGCCAACTAAACACAGTCCATCTGAGAATGAAGTCATGAGTCATTAGTCTTTATGTGCTATCAATTCTATCAGTAACTTTTGTGTCTTAATATTTATAACAAATTGAACCTTTAAACACGTATTGTGTGTGTCAGAACTCTGTGTTCCACACAACCAGTGACCTTGTTTACTAGTGCCTCTGATTTGCTCCTTTACGTTGTAGCTTTGTGACCACCACTACTCCTGGTATTAGAGCTACTGAAGCTGATACTAGCACTAATATCAGTTATTAGTAATAATTGTACTAGTAACAGGAGTAGTAGTGTTACATGTTAAGTTTTTCCTCCACATCCACGTTTATATCTGGACACTCAACACTTCACTCAATCAACAATTAGATGTACGTATCATTGTCTACCAACTGTTGAAGGCTATTGTTTTACTACTCCTGATATTAGTACTAGTATTAATACCAGTTCTAGTAGTATCAGAGCTATTACTAATACTATCAATACTATGAGTAGGGTTAGAGCCACTAGAGCTAAAACTAGTTTTAGTAATAGTACTATTACGAGTAGTAATAATGATAGGAGTAGAGGTAGCTCAAGCTCAAAAAATTCGACAAAAAAGATTAACAGCTTCCTCCTTCAGGTCACATCGACCATCAAGTAACATCTGCACACTTAATGCAGAACTTTATGTTTAATGTTTAATATTGAATGTCTTTAGTGTCTCAGTCTGAATTCAACCAGACCTACTTAGGACATTAATAATCTCATGCTTCTCAGGACATCAATAATGTAAAAGCATCCTGATGATCAAGATTTCAGACAAAACTGTAACATAGCTTAAAACATAAATGTACTTTTGAGAGCCTATAATAACTCTAGTAACCCTTAGTTGGGCCTCCAGCCTTAGGTTGGTGAACCTTGGACATGACTGGGGATCTACTTCCTAGATGGGTTGACGACGCGACCCATTGACAGCACGGCGCCACTCGTCTCCTGATAGATGACGAAGACGAACGGTCTGTTGACGGTCAGACGAGGAGGAAGAGAGGAGGAGCTGCTAGCTCCGCCTTCAGCTGTGATGTCATCACTGCTCTCGTCCACAGACAGGACAGATTTATGGAAAACCTGAACAAATTAAACATACATGTGTATCAGACAGGAAATGTTTCAGAATAAAAGAACCCCCCCACTCAGGTAACTCACCTGTGTGAGCTTTAGTCCCGCCCCCCCTCCGATGGTGCTGAGGTCAGCGTCGTCTTGAAACACTCGTGTGATGTCGAGAGTCTGCAGGACGTCACGCAGAAAGTAAGAACGCTCCAACAGGAAGCGAGGGAGCTGCACCTCCAACTTCCTGTTTACAAAGTCAAACATCAGCTCTGTAGTTACAATCACTAAGAGACCACAAACCAGTTGGGACATAAGAAAACAAGATGTCTCACGTCTTCTTTAGCTTTCTTATCCAGCTCTGGATCTTATTTCCAGTAATTTCTTCTTCCACGGTGGAGATGTCCACACCTTCATCGGGCAACAGAACCAACATGGCCGCCTCCCCAGCCATTGGCAGCTTCAACACGCCGACCTTTACAGAGGGGTCGTACGCCAGGAAGAACTTGTCGGCCCTGAGCATCATGGGAACCATGACAACGTGATAGTTGTCCACGTAGAAGCGCTCGTCTTGAGTGAGGGACGCGTTGAAGGAGGGCGTGAACTGGGCTGCAACACAGAGACAACCTTATTTATTATTGATATGAACAGACACAACCATGCCTTACTAAAGATACCCACGGGTGAAAGCCCCGCCCCTTGAATTGTAGCACTGCTCGCCCGCTGTGTCCAATGCCCAATGGAATCAATGAAAAGCATATTTGCGTTACTGACCTCCTGATGTTGTTTATTAAGAAACTATGGATAAAATAAATATTATGCTGAGACCGGGGCCCTGCTCCTCGTATGTGGGTCAACTAAGTCGATGTCCCATTATCCAGCTCAAATTGACATGATGATGATTGACATCAGGCTGTCTTGGTTCCTCGTAGGCTGATCCGCGCTCAACCGGTCTTGTTAGTTTGAACCACACTTCAGTCATCAGGATAATCGTCTTACGTTAGAAGGCGGAAGAGTCACCAAAATAAGGATTTTTAACAGTCCAGCGGCAAATAAACTTAAAGGAAGAGCGTCTTTCTTCCCCGCTGATGAGCAGGAGATGATCGTGAACGCATATGAGGAGATAATATGTGAATTTGAATCATTTCTGTCGGATGAATTGAACGTCAGCCTTTGAGGAACCGAGACAGCCCAATATCAATCATCTCGTTAATTTGAGGTGGCTAACAGGACAGTAGATCAGGTTTGTTGAACCACGTACGAGGAACAGGGCCCTGGTGGAACTGTGTGTATAAATGTTGAGTGTAGATCACCTGGTGCAAATAACAAAAGCAACGAGACATTAACAACGGTACGATGGTCTAATGGGACTAATGGTCCCATAATTTACGCTGTTTGGATGTTAGCTTAGCGCTAGCTGGGAACTTTGCTGGTACCTTTGAAGGAGCCGATGGTGGCGAGCAGCAGTTGTGTGTTTGGGTCCCAGTTGGTCATCAGATCCTGGTCCTGGTCCCCTGTCTGGTCCTGTGCCCATTGATTGATGGTGTCGGTGGCTTCCTGCGGCACTGTGTAAGCCACATTCACAGCATTTCCCCCAAACTTTGACTGAACCAGGTCCAGATAGGAGGCGGACAGCTGGAAGCCTACAGCTGGGAGTACAGCCACACCCTGCTTCAGGCTGGTGGCAAGGACCAAAGTCCTCAGGGTCTGGAACAGATCTAAAAACAGTGGAGACTCTCACAGCTACCAGTCAACACACTGACGGTGCCCTCACTTCTGACCCCTGACCTACCTGGGAGGGCCTGGGAGTCCAATCCCGTCAAGCTGAGCGCCTGCAGCAGCTGGTCCTTGGTCGGCCCGTTGGTGCCGCTCACCAGCGCCAGCAACCCGTTGGTCAGAGTGAACGTGGACAGGAAGATGTTGTCGTCGGTGCGGCTGGAGACGACGTGATACAACCGGGCAGAAAAGTCTGCGTTGCTATCGGTCAGAACGTCGGCCTCAGAAGAGCACAGACTCAGGAGGAGGAGGCCGACCAATGAGAGGAGGGAGGGGGCCATGGTTAGGGGCCTGCTAGTAGTCGGCACGGAACGGCTGCAGGTTACATCACAGATTCATTCTCTTGCAAAACACGTCACATGCATCAAATGTTTTTATAACAATGTGATCAATACCCTGAGAGATTATTTATCATTAACATATGAAATATGAATGGAACTGATCTATAACTTTATCCATTTCACGGAGCAGTGAAGGGCCGCGCCTATAAACATTTGTTTGTGCGTATTTAAACCAGGCTTTAAGTTTGAAAGGGTTGTTTTTGTTTTGATGCGGAAACGTTGCTCCTCCCGATCTGAAGAATAAAATCACCGCATCCGTTATATCTGATCGCTCTATGTCGATCAGGTTTGATGACGTAATGATACACAGCTGAATGTAAATATACAAACAATTTAAAACAAACATTCTGACCTTTTGATGATTTGCGTTCTTTGATTTTGATCAAACGCCTTTCTGCTCTCGAGCTTCACCAGCTGCGCATCACCATCAAGCTCGCGACACGATCAGTCAACATCCATTCTGGTCTCATTTCAAAATACAAGTCGTGTCTCCGCAAGGGGAAACAGGAAACAGGAGACTGGGGGGTCATATCCTTTATGAAAGGACATGTATGTACTCAAGTGATTAAAAAGTGATTTGTTTGAATCTTAATCAAAAAGATAGATACCGTATTTTTGATCCGTTTCGCCAAAATCTCACAGCGCTTTATTTACCTGTAGTTCCCGGCTTTTATTTTGAAAGATATTTTTGTGGGTTCGGTCAGTTAGTCAGTGCGCCTGCGCATTACAGGTCATGGTGTGTTACCCGAACATGTCAGCAGAAGGCGATATACCCAAAGGAGACAGATCGGAGCGAACACCGTTAAAACATGTTTCTACATCCGGCTTCCAGTCAGTCTCTGCGGCGTGTGCTTGGTGGTTTTTCTTTTTTGACAAATATATTTATTGTTTTCTCCACATTACACAAACAACAAAAAAACAAAACAAGCCATATCAGGAAATATATATATATATATATATATATATATATATATATATATATATATATATATATATATATATATATATTAAGGCTGGCGCATGTTTCTGCGTCTTTACGTCGTGTCGACGCACTGGTTTCACTTCCTGGTTGTAAAGTCCTGCGTGTGTTGCAGAGCGATTCACCTCCAGAACAGGTGGAGTCACGTGTTTTGTTGAAGACGACCTAGAGAGTCACGTCTTTGTGTGTGGAAGTCGTTGGTTGCTTTATTTATTTATCACAGACCTTATTGCCCCGTGCATCCACACTGCTGCTTTTCATCAAGGACACATTTGTCCCGTATTTTCCTCCACGACTTTGTTCCCCTGGTTTGTGGAGATCTCCCTCCATGAATCAGAGGCCATCCGGCGTCCTCATAGTCCGCCAATCACGGCTTGTACAAGTGCTCATATTACGCATTTCTTCCCACAAAAGCTCTTCAATCTGATCCGTTCTCTCGTAAACATTCTTCCTTTTAATAACGGCCGTATTGTGCTGTGAAAACGAAAATGTGAGACTCCGTAAAGGACGTAGTTGGCGGACCAATCACAGCCTGGTGCGCTCAGGAGACCATCCGCGCGTCCTCTATAGTCCGCCAATGACAAAAATGGGTCGACGCACGCAAGGAACACGCTTTAGTTGCATGATTTTTTTATTGCAGAGACAAAAAAATAAAAATAGTAGTAGGGTTGGCTGATATGTGCATGCACAGACAGATAGTTGATAGATACTATACTCCACAACTAGAACGCCCCCTAAACGATGGGCTAGTATTCTCCCTCCAGGTCCATATATGAGCTCCCTTTAGCTCTCCATGCACGTTTCTCTAGGGCGAGACAGTCGCGCTCTCTCTATCCAATGTTTGTAACATTTGTAATAATATCTTGCATTCACAGAAGCAGCAAGCCAAGATACCTACTTGGTGTTTTCACTTTATATTTTGTAGATAAAAAAAATATTTAAAAAAACAGCAGCACAACGTTGTCGTGGTTTTTTCTTTCTCTATTGGACAGCTTTATTGTGAAAGATCTCTGTCCAGACAGAAGCAGGTATTATATTATATAAAGTCTCACAGTTTATTTTTCGATCAAACAAAATAATATGCAGAATGTACTTGAGAACTGGTGTATCCTTGAAATAACGTAGAATGAGCTTAACAGTAAAATAAGGGTTGCCTATCATCCGAAGAGTAACGTCATTAATTTGATGAACTTTGTCTGTTTCACCTCTCCCATCATTTACAGCCATTTGTTTCCTTATTTGTTAAACAGAAGTGAGGACCCCCTCCCCCTCCCTCCTCAGACCCCCTCCATTGGGACATCTCCACCTCCCTCATCACCCCTCGGACCCCCTCCCTCCACACTGCGGCGTCTCGCCCACTCCGGGCCAAATGAGGAGCAAAGACCACCTCCAGCCTGCGGAGGACGCTGCTCTGGTCGCCCTGGGCAACAGTCACCTGGAGACGACGCATCATTAGCCGAACCATCACCTGATTGGCCCAGAGCAGCCCCAGGGCTGGTGACACGCTGGAGGAGAGCGGGCTGAGAAAGAGAGAAATAGTTTTAATATTATAATGTCAAATATTATTATTATGTTAAGTATTTATTCAAAACACAGAGCTTTTTCATATCACTATTAATGATGTATGTTCAACTTGTATCATATTTCATTTAGATGAGGCTTTTATCCAAAGCTAATTAATTAATGAATTAATAAGTGACTCCCCCAACACGTCTGGGCCAATCAGATGTGCGGTTTGTCTATAAATGATCTCGCCTTTTCTCATATCAGAGAACTATTGTTCATGAAACAAATTTAACTTTCATACAAAGTCAGAATTTCACTTTCGTGGGTCTTTGGAAAACATGAAATAGTGTTTTACCCCAAACTGTCGTCTGAGCTGCTAAGAAAATCTGTCACCTGAAACCAAGAAAGATTTAATTAAATTCATTTTATTGTACATAATGTAAATATAAATGCTTCTGTTTCTGATCACAATATGACGTGTACACATGCAACATCCTCTGACTTTCGCCCCTCACGTCGGCACAGGAAAAACTCCCAACAACAGTGAGAAAAAAGGAGGAAACCTTAAGGAGAGCGGCAGAGGAAGGAAGGAAGGAAGAGGAAGTAGCTATAAATAATATCATTAAAAAACAACCGCCTGTGTGAAAATCTAAATACTGACATTCTGATGGAAAAGCCCTTGTTGATATGAGTGTGTTACCTGATTAATACAGAGGACAGGTGTGGTGAACCTCGAGCTCAGGTGGTGCAGTGTTGAGGAGAAGGTGAGGAGCTGTTTACTTCTCTCCAGCCAATCAGCAGCCTGAAACTCTGACCTGAAAAGAGCCGCCAACGAGTCCACCACAAGGAGCCGAACCAGACCCCGAGTCAGCAGCAGGGGGACGCGGCGAGAGAGACACACCTGCAGGGAGTCCTGAGGTACACACATCACCTGTCAGTCACTGAAAAGGGGTTCACTAGTCAGAGGTCAGAGGTCACACTCACCAGGTCTGCTACATGTTCAATGTAGATGCGGTCACTGAACTGGAGGCTGCTGATCAGCGAAGGAGGAACGTCCGAGCGCAGAAGGGACTGATCTGTGATCAGCTGCTGCAGACGTTTGATAGGAAAAGAGTCCTCGGTGCAGATGTACACGGCTCCTGTGTTACAGGGAGGAGGTCAGCGACCCTCATGACCGGTATCTACCGTACCCAAAAGTGACGCAGATTTCGGTGCTTGCTTTTCGGATTGGAAAACCTTTATTTACACTACTCTGACAGCTAACGATAGCTTAACGCTTGTAGCTACGGTAGCTAGCTAGCCATCTCCCTTCTATTTGTATTTAAAGGCCGTGTCTCCCCTGTTATTAAAGTCTGGAAGTTCTTTCGCAGCGCACGGCACTACGGACACACAGACGTGTGCGTGTACACAGGTGAGCACGCGCCCACACACGTCGTCAGCCCCCCACCAACCGCGGGTGTAGCGGCATCCGTGACTTTGTTTCCTCACACGAATGACAGGATCGTTTAATTCTTTTGGTTTTTATTTTACGCAGAAAAGCGTTAATAAAGTAATGAATTAATAAATTCTGTCACACGGTGGATAAACAATATGCAGCTTCTGTGTTGCACCTGCTGCGATCATGACGTCAAAAAAACAAGACAACATACATGTTAAATATCTTTAGTTCCTGCACAATGAGAATAAATCTAAAATGAAATGATTAATATTCTCCAAATTCCATTGAACTAATACATACACTTACAGAGGGGAAACACTAAGTATACTGTAAACAGTTCATCTATTGTTCATAGTTAGAAAGTTCAAAGCTGTTTGACAATATTGGTTACACAACTAATACCGTATTTTCCGCACTATAAGGCGCACCTTCCATGAATGACCTGCTTTAGAACATTTTCATATATAAGGCGCATAAGATCCTGTAGTCAAAGGTTTGACGTCGGGGCGGGTGGAGGTGGAGACGGTGCCTTCAGGGTCCGATCGATTTCTACGAGGTGCGTCCGCTCCCGCCGCCCTCCTCGCCATCCACGCCTTAAATCTTCGGCTGCTTTTAGAATAACTAATGTTCCCCGTTAAGATGGTTGAGCTACTGTAGAGAAAAGGGCGCCGTCTCTCGCTCTTTAATCTCATGAAGTGCTCGGAGAGAACGACAGCTTTGTTTCTCCGACGCGCCCTGAAAGCAGCTCCATATCTCGCTCAGCATCTCGCCGTCGTAGACGAGCTTTGGCGTGTTTGTCAGAGCGCCTTGAGCGCCGTGTACAACCAGTATGGATCAACCCATTAACCAATTGATCCATATATATATAAGGTGCTCCGGATTATAAGGCACTGTCGTTTTTTGAGAAAATTAAAGGCTTTTAAGTGCGCCTTGGAGTGCGGAAAATACGGTATATTGTTCAATTCTGAAGAAAAATGGGTTAGGGTTAGAAAAATGTCTTAGTTGATGAAAATTCTCTCTTTTGTTTTGTGCTTAAAAAAAAGTATTTTTAGGCACTAGTATCATTTTAAAAGTATCGGTTTAGCACCAGTATCGGAGAAAACCCAAACGATACCCATCGTTCCCTCAACCTCAGCTCTTGGTTTCTCCGATGCTGCGTTCACTGACCTGAATGCAGCCCTCCGTACTGGGTCGGGTACTGTACAGACAGACAGAGCTGCAGAGCCAGCTGAGTCTTTCCCGCTCCGCTTTCTCCTGACAGCTCAGTGACTCCCCCCACAAGTAACCCCCCCCTCAGCAACTGGTTCAGTACCGGACATCCAACGCTGAGTCGGAGGCCGGCGTCAAACTTACGATGGAGCACGAGGGCTGCAGACAGAGAAAGACTCAGGTGAAGGCTTGTTGTGACATCCAATCAGAAGGCCCAGGCTGGACTGACCTGCGATCGGATGGTGGCGGCGGCAGGAGGTGGCGGCAGCGATGAGAAGCTGCTGGACGTCTGAACTGGACAGACCCGTGACCCTCTGTAAGTCTGAACCTGAGACACACAACACCTCCCTGGCTGACTTTAGGTGTGCTGGAGGGACAAAACAAGGTTACCATGGCAACAACAATAATAGAACAACCCCCTAGTGAGCACCAGGAGGGATTCAGAGGAAGCTCCAACCAAACTTCATACGAAATAGGACTGTTATAAGGAAGCTTTATATCATCAACTTCCCTTTTGGGGCTCTTTTAGTTCTACAGAATATTTACTCCAATGCGTTGATGCGTAATTGATGTAAGTTGATGGTGATTAGTGGCATGTTAAATGTAGATGTTTGTGAAAGGAGTCTGGTGTAGCATCACCTCTGCTTACGGCTGCAATGATCCTCGGGTTGAGCTCCAGCTGGTCCATCTCCCCAGTGGCGGCATCGCCGCTGCTTAGTGTCACAGTCAATAAACGTTGTTATTGTACGAGCAACTATCTAAGGAGTCCTTCCACATCCGACAAATGCCCGCCCAAAGACAAGCAACAGCATACGTCATCAATCCCCGCCGGTTGGAACCATCTGACCCGGGGTGCGGGTGTCCAGTTACATTAAAAAAATACATCCAGTGCATCGTATAATGTGTAAAAGTAATTGTATGAATATATTATGTATTTTATAACACCAATACGCAATATATATGTAATATTCTTGCCAACAGTGAAGGTGTTTTCGCCACAGATTTAATAACTCCCCCACTCAAGACTTCGTGACGTAATTTCACGGCGCCGAAGGAGGAAAACAAACCACTCGAAACAACCGAATCCCGTCTACGATCATTAATCCGTATTTATTGAATATAGTTTGCCCTTACGGTGCCGAGAAATGGATTCCACCGTGGAAATAACGGCTCCGTCGGGATTTTAGCCGCAAAACGGTTCCTACTGTTTCTATAAGACTCTAACAGGACTACTGGTTCTGTTTCTACTGGTTTCTCCCGTGGTGAGTTAATCTCTCCAGTAATGTTCGGTCAAGTTGTGAAGACAAAATTCGGACTATATCAGGAATCGGTAACATTTATTGCCAAAATACGATAGACATACGAGGAATTTGACATGGCGGTTGGTTGCATGACACCAGGCAGTAAGACAATGGACAACAAGACAGATAAGACAGCACAGTGTAAGAAAGTGGCGGGTTCAATTTACAATTAAAAAATTAAGGATAAGAAGGAATTTAAATAAAAAACCAGCGAACAGATAACCATACTCTACACAACTGTGTTGTGAGTGTATGTGAAAGTGACAGGTGACAGGTGTGTGTGTGTGAAGTGACCGGATGTCCGAGTCAGTCAGGGGGGACCGGTGTTACGTGCCTACTGGTTTTTATAATATTATATATATAATATCTATGGTCGGACTCATCAACAGAGCCGATGTTACGTGCCTACTGGTTTTTATAATATCATTGTTATAAAAACTGTTGTGTCGGTGGTGGAAAGCTGCAGCCTCGCGAAAAAGTATCGATACACATGTTTGGGAGTGTTTGCTCGCGGGGGATCGAATCAAGGTTAGAGATTATATACAATATCCAGGTTTAAGGTTAGAGATTATAAACAATATCCAGGTTTAAGGTTAGAGATTATATATAATATCCAGGTTTAGGGTTAGAGATAATATATATTATATCCAGGTTTAAGGTTAGAGATTATAAACAATATCCAGGTTTAAGGTTAGAGATTATATATAATATCCAGGTTTAAGGTTAGAGATTATAAACAATATCCAGGTTTAAGGTTAGAGATTATATATAATATCCAGGTTTAAGGTTAGAGATTATAAACAATATCCAGGTTTAAGGTTAGAGATTATAAACAATATCCAGGTTTAAGGTTAGAGATTATATATAATATCCAGGTTTAAGGTTAGAGATTATATATAATATCCAGGTTTAAGGTTAGACATTATATATAATATCCAGGTTTAAGGTTAGACATTATATATAATATCCAGGTTTAAGGTTAGAGATTATATATAATATCCAGGTTTAAGGTTAGAGATTATATATAATATCCAGGTTTAAGGTTAGAGATTATATATAATATCCAGGTTTAAGGTTAGAGATTATATATAATATCCAGGTTTAAGGTTAGAGATTATATATAATATCCAGGTTTAAGGTTAGAGATTATATATAATATCCAGGTTTAAGGTTAGAGATTATATATAATATCCAGGTTTAAGGTTAGAGATTATATATAATATCCAGGTTTAAGGTTAGAGATTATATATAATATCCAGGTTTAAGGTTAGAGATTATATACAATATCCAGGTTTAGGGTTAGAGATTATATATAATATCCAGGTTTAAGGTTAGACATTATATATAATATCCAGGTTTAAGGTTAGACATTATATATAATATCCAGGTTTAAGGTTAGACATTATATATAATATCCAGGTTTAAGGTTAGACATTATATATAATATCCAGGTTTAAGGTTAGAGATTATATATAATATCCAGGTTTAAGGTTAGAGATTATATATAATATCCAGGCTTGACATTTCCTGTTTATATAAATGTGTAAATGGAAACAAAGACAACTTGTGATATTAATAGTAATAGTTGGGTAAAATCTAATCCATTTTAACTACTTCATCTTTAACAGTTAATCATCTAAAGGCGTTGACCTCTGTGACTTCCAGGGTGTGTTGACCTCTGACCTCCACCATGAGCTCCAGGGTGTGCCGGACGTGTGGCGGGTCCGACATTGACGTGGATCAGGCACGGGGCAGCGCGGTGTGCACCGGCTGTGGCTCGGTTCTGGAGGACAACATCATCGTCTCCGAGGTTCAGTTTGTGGAGGGAAGTGGAGGAGTGTCTTCAGCTGTGGGACAGTTTGTGTCTGCTGATGGTGAGAGGACACTACACTCAGTGGGCTCCATAATCTATCGGGTTATATGAAACCATCACATGATCAATAGTTTAATCAATGTACAAATCCTAATCTGATGTTAGATTCCCCCTTGATGGTAGAACAGACAAATACACATTTTGTTATGTGCCAGCAACCAGGATCTTTTATTTTTGAGTTAAGCCTTTGGTTGAGGGACATTTCAAAGGACATTCCTGGCATCCAACCTCCAAAGACCCGGTGCAAATGAAGTCACAGTATGAATGGACTTCTCTGCAGGTCCGGTTAAGGCCCCCCTTCTAGGTTCGGGTTTTCACACCAGTGTTGGGAAAGAGTCCAGAGCCCAGACCCTGCAGGGTGGTGAGTACCTCATCCTCCTTCACCTTCATCATCCTACCACCAGCTCCCCCTGACTGGGCCCCCTGTGTGTCTCCAGGTAAGCGTCAGATCCAGCAGCTGGGCAGTCAACTGCAGCTCAATCAGCACTGCTTGGACACGGCCTTCAACTTTTTCAAGATGGTGGTCAGCAAACACCTGACCAGAGGACGCAAGACCGAGCACGTCATCGCCGCCTGCCTCTACCTGGTGTGCCGCACAGAGGGGACGCCACGTATCCTAGCAACTACCTTCTTAGACGTGCTGTGTGCAACAGTTTAATGTTCACAACACGATTTTCCTCAACTGGGTTTCAGACATGCTGCTGGACCTCAGTGACCTGCTGCAGGTGGGATTTCATCTATAGTCTCATTCAATGTTCTTTCTTTCTATACATTGTAGATTCATATTGACATCAAAACTATGAGGAAACACTTGAACATTATATAAATATTGTGGCGGGGTGGAAGGAACAGACTGCACAACAGCTCAAGTGAAGTCCCCGGAGGGCAAGGTTTATTTACAACCGTTTAATTAGGAGAGGTCCAGCTTGCGAGGTTTTGCGGACCCTGGTGCTCGTGGTGAATCCGCTCGTGGGGGAGTCGGTGCAGTGCTCCAGGGGTTCCGTCGGGTCACTCGCTGCTTACTAGAGAGACAATGACACACAAGAGGGTTAGCCTTACGTCTTCTCCAGGGGGCCTCCTTGTTCCTTCTGAACCTGCAGCTTAAATGCAGCGGAGCTGACGAGCTGCAGGTGTGGCCACTCAGCTCGTGATGAGTGGTGAGCAGGTGTTCCTTGTAGGTTCCAGGGCAACGCTGATGTGGGCTTGGGACGCTCATCACAATATATGAATTATGCGTAAAAGCAAAATGTGTTTTCAATGTTGGACCTTTTGTTTGATGGCAGCTTTGAGCCTCTTGGCCTTCCTTTAACCAGCTCCGTGAGGGACACTGACCGATCATAGAGCTGTGTTGGGGTCCTTGTCCTGTTGAAGTACAGATGCTGATCCAACTAAGCTCAAACCGGATAGGATAGCATGTTACTGCAGAAAGCCCCTCTACACCATCATACCACCTCCTCCATCTGCGACTTACAAAGACTCTGCGGGTAGAACCAAAGATCTTAGATGTGGAATCATAAGACCAGAGTCCAGATGTCCACTGGTTTAATGTCCAGTCCTTGAGTTCCGGGGCTCATGCAGGTCTCTCATTGTTCTTCATCAGTAGTGCTTCTTTGCAGCCATGAAGGCTTGATTCCGTCTCCTCTGAACAGGTGATGTTGAGATGTGTCTTCTCCTTGAACTGCGAGAAGCATTTCTCTGGGCTTCCTGAGGCTGGTAACCATGGACGTCTCTTGGACAGCAGGGGTGTCCTCATGATGTCCACTTTCATCACAGTGTTTGCTGGTGATCACAAGCATTCACCGTTCTTGTGGGAGTGGATTGGCTGACCTCACTAATGTCATGATGGACTGTGCTTTGTCTTTACTTCTTTCAGTGTTCTTGCCATAATCTGGATTGGAACTGTAGTGGAATAGACTCATTCACGTTATAGAACTGTGCAACACGCAACTGATGCTTTCACACCCATTAAGAAGGCAATACATTTCACAAATGAACTAGACAAGACACACCTGTTCATGGAGAACCATTCCAGGTGACTCCCTCCTGAAGCTGGTTGAAGGAAAGCAAGAGGTTCAACATAGAAAACACATTTTGCTTTAACACATACTTTCATATATGTCAGAGTTTCCTATCCATCTACAATGTAGAAGAAAATAAAGAAACCATTGAATTGGAAGGTGTGTCCAAACCATTGATAGGTACTGTATGTATAAATATATATGTATATGATATGAATCTCAGTAACCGTAACTTCACGTCTACAGGTGAACGTCTACATTCTGGGTAAAACATTCCTGCTGTTGGCTCGAGAGCTCTGCATCAACGCTCCTGCCATTGGTGAGGAACGTTTATACCCCTATAGATATATCACTTCATTCTAATACTCACATAGCGGGACTCATGTTTTACTTTAATTGAGCTCGAAAACACACATTTTTAAATGTGTGGACTGGAAGCAAGTCTGTCCCACTCCCCTCGAGGGAGGTCCAGTCTGGGTTTGATCGAGGCAGTGAACTACAGGAAGACCTTTGAGTCTCTTTCAGCATCAGGATGTGCCTGTGTCAGCAAACTCCTGCAGGATCATGGGGGGGACCGGATCAGGTACAGAGCCTTATCCAGAACCTCCCACTGGTTCCTGGGGCTCATCAGCAGACACCCAGCGGCCACCCAGCTCCACGCTGCCCGTAAGACGTTGAGCGATTCTCTATGCAGAATTATCTCCAGCGTCGGTGGGTCGATCTCACAGAACCCTTTGGGAGGTTAGGCTCACAACCCCGCAGACCCAGTTCAGCCTGACTTTCCATCACCTCCCAGTGGCGCTGCGTCAGCTCTCGGTTCTGACCGCTCTGAGAACCAGGACACACACATTACTGTTACACACACACCAGCCTTAAGCAGCTTACTGATCCAATCACCACCCGGAGTCACATCTACAAGAGCTGAAGCTCAGGTGGCTCCACATTTCCCTGATGCCCAAATAAAACATAAACTTGACTTTGGCCGATCCATGATAGACAAAGAGGAGGTTTGGACCCAGGACCTTCCTGCTGTGATGTTGGCTTGTCTTTCCGCCTCTTCCCCCTCAGACCCTTGTCTGTATATCCCTCGTTTTGCTCATATGTTGGAGTTCGGGCTGAAGACTCATGAGGTCTCCATGACGGCTCTTCGTCTGGTCCAGAGGATGAAGAGGGACTGGATGCACACGGGACGCCGTCCATCTGGTCTCTGTGGAGCAGGTACAACGTGGTCCATCACACATGAGCTGATCTGGAATCCTGAGGACCAAACGTCTCATAGCCGGTCATGGTTGTGTTTGCCCTCGTGTCGTCCTCCTCAGCGCTGCTGGTGGCAGCTCGGATGCACAAGTTCCGTCGTACAGTGAAGGATGTTATCAGCGTTGTGAAGGTCTGCCAGACAACTCTAAGGAAAAGGTGAGAGCAGATCAAACTAGATCTCATCACATGTGGACTGCAGCAGATCACTCTAGATCCCTTCACAAGACATGAAATCCCAGTGGACTGCAGTAGATATATACTTTATTAATACAGCACAGTAATTACAATTATATACACAGTACAACAAAATACAATAAATAGCAGCTTAAATTAAAATGAAAGTAGAAGTATGTACAGGGAGGATTGGGTGTAAATTTAAATTAAAAGCAAAAACAGTAGTGCAATGTTATTGATATTACATTAAGACCGTGGTGAAGTGGTTATTCAATGAACACAGATTCAGCCAGAGGGGGTTTGTTGTACCGTCTACTGCAGTTGGCAGGAATGTTTTATATCATCCTGTTGGAGAAGGTGCTCCGCAGTCCCTGCAGTAGGTGGCCCGGGTCATTTAATATGGACACCAATAGATCACTGTAGATATGATAGGGGATCCCAGTGGACTGCAGTAGATCACCATAGATCCCTTTATATGATAGAGACTGCAGTAAATTACACTAGATCACTCTAGATTTCAAAATATGTTGCAGTATATCCTGTTCTTTACAGATTAACAGAGTTTGAAGACACGCCCACCAGTCAGCTGACAATTGACGAGTTCATGAAAGTAGATCTGGAGCAAGAATGTGATCCACCTTCCTTCACCGCCGGACAGCACAAAACCAAGATGCAGCAGGTAGATCCCTCGGTCTCTGGTTGGCTGCTGACCGATGAGCTCACCAACGATCAATGACAGGACCATCTTTACCCTCTTCTTCTTCTGCAGCTGGAACACGAGCTGGCCAGGAAGCTGGATGAGGTTGAAGGTCAGTTAAAATGTTTGATTACCTTAAATTCAGTTCAGAGTTTTTGTTTTTGTGCTTGAATGACTGAGCTTGTTTCAACTCTTCAGTCTCCTGTCATTCTTTTGCTGCTCAGTACTGTGAGTGGACTGAGAATATCTTTTGTATCCTCTTACAGATATTGAGCCTCCTGTGACTTTTGGGAGTTTGATTAAATATAGATTTTTGTTTGTGAAAAGCTTTGAAGGACTAAACCTTGTCCCCGTCAGGAGAGATCAGCTGCTACAAAGACGAGATCGAGACGGAGCTGGAGAAGAGCCGACCGAAACTTGGAGGAATCTACACTGCCTACTCCAAAGAAATCGGTCTGTATTGATCCGGAGTCAGCGGGGTCCCCCTCATCATCAAAACCACATCACAACTCTTCACTTCTTGCTTTTCAGACCCCGATGACGTTGAGGTCTCGACCATGACCTCTGAACCTGAGGTAACGGAGATGGAAGACTCAGATCTCCAAGCTGCCACCCAACACCTGACCCAGAACTTCCTATGTGAAGTGATCCAGGATGAAGAGGGTCAGGGCAAGAAGCCAGATGACAGTGATCAGGAGGCGGGGTCCGACGAGGAAGGGGCGGGGCCTCACCTTCAGGCTCCTCTGGCCGTCATCCTGGGCAAACTACCGAGTGCAGCCGGGCGGAGCCTCGAACAGGCCTTCCAGCCCTTTACAGATTCGGAACAGGGCGACAGAACAGATGGTGTGTATGACATCATCATTACGTCATTATTACCTGAACATCATTACTGTTGATGATGTTGACTCTGATTTTTTTTTTTTATAGGCGAGCAGTCGGAGTGTGGAGAGTTGGACCTGAAGGACATTGATGATCAGGAGATCGATAAGGTCAGTTAATTCATCAATCACTGCTGTATTGATCCAATGTTCATCTCAGGGCTCATCTTTGTCACAGGTGTCAAACTCAAGGCGTGAAAATGCCCCCCCCTCGTTGATTGGACCATCCCCCCTATGATAGTTAATGGTCTGGCCCACTTGAGATCAAAGTGGTCAGTATCTGGCCCAAACCTAAAATGAGTTTGACACACCTGATCTATGTTAATGCAGAAGTAATGTCTTCGCAAAACTGCTTTTATTGTGAAAGGATTTAACAGGATGTGGTGTGTTCTGATTTTCTGCTGCAGTACATCCTGAATGATCAGGAGGTTGAGGTGAAGACGGAGCTGTGGATGAAACAGAACGCAGAATACTTGAAGGAGCAGAAAGGTGATCTTCATCATAGTCTTCCTCTTTATGTTATTAACTAGGGCCGTCAACAGTAACGCATTAAACTATGCGATTAATGTGGTCGCGTTAATTCAATGAAATATAACGCAACGTTGTCTACTTGCGGTGTGCCGGAAGTAAACAACGTTGACCGCGGAAACAAAGCGGCCGCTAGCTGCAGTCAGTTACATCTCGATGCAGAGAGCGTTTTGCATTGGAAGTAAAGCAAACAGCGACAGACAGCAGAGAACTGAGCAGAGGAAATACTCCACGTGTCAAACAGAAGGGGGGTGAGTGGCAGACGGACCACTTAAAGCACCGCTATGCTAAGCTAGCTGCTGGGCTACTTCCATGTAGGATGTAGGGTCAGGTGTGGTCAGGATGGCAGCTTCTGCCTTCGTTCCCTGCGGCCCTATTATGAACTAATAGTCCTCTTCATCCTAGTCTTCCTCTTCCTCACAGAGAAAGAAGAGCGGATCAGGAAGGAGAAGGAACAAGGGACCTATAAAGAGAAAGTGAGTCAAAAACACAGGACCTCCCAGCCAGGGGTCCAGGGGCTTTCCTGTTCTCATTGAGGACCAGGACTAATTACTAACCTGGCTACTGCCTCAGCGAGCATCACAGAGCCCCAGAGGGTAAATCTAATGGGAGCTACGTTTCGTCCTTCTCAAGCCGAAGAAGTCCAAGAGGAAGAAGGAGCAGATCCAGGCGTTGACGGCGGGGGAGGCCATCGAGAGGATGCTGGAGAAGAAGAAGATCTCCAGTAAGATAAACTATGAGGTCCTCAGAGACCTGAACAGCAGAGGGACAGGAAGTGGGGGAGGCAGCAGTCCCACTGGAGTGACCTCCGACCCCCCAAACACTGCCGCCGCCACACGGAAACGACTCACCCGCCGCCGCCGCAAGAAGACCAGCGATGCTAACCGAGAGCTAGCGGCTACTACCAGCATCATGGGGAAGAGGTACTCTACGAAACGTATTATGTATATATATCTTCATATATATATTCATATAGAAATGGATGGGAAGATTATTTGTTCTTCATGTTGGTCTCAGGGTACGACTCATTCTATCCTCCACACCGAAGAAGAAGAAAACAACCGTCCAGGTGAGCAACCACACCTGTCTCACCTGCTTCTAAGATACTGTGGCATATACATATATATATATTTATATATTTCCCTATAAATCTTTAGATCCATATGGATTTATATGATTGATGATTGATTCCATTGATTGATGAATCAATCTATGTTTATTCCTACAAACCCAAATGAAGTCACAATTTGATTCCTGACTGAATCACATGAATAATATTTAATCGAATAGAAACCTAAATTTGTTGCCCAACCGACTGAACCGTCCGTCCGTCCATACGTCATCAGTAAATCAAGCTCAGGGATTGTCTGAGACCGGAGCCTCCAAACCTCCTTAAACCGCACCGCCTGACTTCCTACTTTCCCACCGTGATCATCTTGTGGTGTTTTAGTCCACTTCCTTTGCTCTCAACTATTGCGTAACACATGTAATAACTGTTTGTGTCTCAGTGGAATGCTTTTAAGCTTTAGGTTTAGTCACAATACACATCAATATTTATAGACAAATATGTGACATCACAGACCTCTCATTTTAAACCTCTCAGGCAGAAAACCCCGTCCCCGTGACAACAGATGTCCCAACAGAGGCTTCGCCTGCAAATCCTGCACCCGAGCCAGACCAAAGCTCTGCCCCTTCTGCTCCGCCCACTGTGGTGGAGGAGGAAGAGGAGGAAGAGGAGGTGGAGGAGTGTGTCAGCGCGCTGCAGCTCGTAGGAGGTCAGTCCAGCCTTTTATTCTTTAAATTTAGAGGAATGATTGATTGACTGACTGACTGATTGATCCTGTATTCCAGATTACGGGTGTGAAGAGGAGGAAGTCTTCTAGCTTTGTCCTGCTGACCTTTGACCTCCAGCGAATAAACCATCTAGTTAACCTGAGGCAGCTCTATTGAAACAATTTTACAGAAATGATTAATATTGGCGATAGCTTGAACATGTTACGTTAGCACTGACGGTAGACTTTTTTTGTGGATTTTTAACACTGATCTTTTTTTATTGATCCCTATGAATGTAAATATGAAAACTCTCATTCCTGTAAAATATGTCCATCCAAAGTTAAACTTCTTTAATGTTTGAACTGTTTGTGTTTTTAGGGTTTTAACTGTATCCTTTTTTTAAACAATTGTGTGTACTGAAGTATTTTTACTTGTTATATTATGATTATGTACTGAAAAAAGGAAAAACACATTGAGAGAATAAAGAAACTATGAAAGTAGAAGAACCTGAAGGGAAAGCATTGTTTTTTAGTTTTTTTAGTAAACATTTTACTTTGGCGGGTTTGACGAGAGTAATCTGCCTCTGATTGATTGTGATGACAGGAAGTCACACTAAACCGTGAAAACCAAGAACAGATCGAACTTTAACATTTTGGAACATGTTGGTTCTTTTTTTTATAACTTCTGACTTTTGCTCTGCTTCCAATTTTAATGCTAAGCTAAGCCAAGCGAAGTGCTTAACCGAGAGGAGGGAACTCCGTTTACACAACGGGTCAAACGTCCTCAGCGCAGCTCGAGGGGGCGGAGCTCCTCACTAGCCCAACACCTGTTTGATGGCCTGAGAGTAGAACCTGGTCCGGTCCTCTCTCGGGGAATCCTCCTCCTTAGGGACTCCTCCACACTGCATCCTCAGCGCCGTCTCGTCTCCTCCCTCCTTAAACACCAGGTTGGCGTTGTGTAGCGTTCTGATGGAAACAGCATCCGCAGTGACCAAACAAAGCTCAGATATCCGATTGTCCCTGAACACAGCAGAAGAGAAGTTGCTCATGATTGTAAAAGACCTACCACTGAACCGCCTCCTCATCTACATCCCTTTGGTCCGGTACCTGCAATGAGGAACATCAAATTCTGGTTACTATGGTGATGCAACACCTCTGCGCTGTTGCTGTTTTCTAACCAGCTCTATGAACTTGTGTGCCGCTCTCGCCCAACATCTGGAGCCACCTCCACACCGAGCGTCCACCTCTGACAGTGAGTGAACATCACATCACATCACATGTCATTTAGCTGACGCTTTTAACTAAAGCGACTTACAATAAGTGGATTTCAACCATAAGGACACAAACTCAGGAGAACAAAGTGCAATTTCATCAAATAAGCCGATGTACAACTTGCTGTATATAAGAACCATTATAAGTCCAATGTAAGTGCTACAGTTAGTTAGTGTGTTAGTGGAGGTAGAGTCTGAAGAGGTGTGTCTTTAGTCTGAAGATGTGAAGGCTCTCTGTGGTCCTGATGTCTTCAGAGACCTCCTTCCACCATTTAGGAGCAGGACAGCAAAGAGTGGAGATCTAGTCCAGTGTTTTGCTCTCAGTGAGGAGGAACTAGCAGTCTATCACATGCAGAGCGGAGAGGTCAGAGGTCGGGATGTCGGGTTGGACCAGGTCCTGGATGTAAGCTGGACCCCATCCATTCACAGCGTGGTACTATGTTGCGACCAAACTTTACAAGGAGGCACATGGTGGAACTTAAACCAATGACGATGGAAAACAACAACAATAATAATAATAATAAACAGCTATAATATTAAAACAGATCATTACACACCAATTAAATTACTTACATACAACAAATTTATATGATTATTAAGATATATTAGGAATCAGGAAACATTTATTGCCAAAATATGTCAAACATACAAGGAATTTGTCTTGGCGGTTGGTGCGTGGAATATTTCATGTTTAAATTGTATACTTTAAATTTAAAATAGATTTCTTTGATTTAAACCTAGTTAGTTGTATATTCTGAATGAAACATTAAATCATTTTTTGGGGTTCATAAAAAATAATTATAAATGTAATGAATACTGGCTCCCCGCTATTTCCGCGTTAACTACAACTCCCAGCAGTCTGTGCGCGGCCGGAAGCCTTAACACTCCCGTCAAAGAAGAGAAGTAGCCGATACAACCGAAGGTAAAAATGGATTCTGATCGATGTTTTAAACACATCTCTGTTTGGTCGGAGTTCTGCTTCTATGTGCGCGTGAGGAGGATCACTGCTGCCGTCTGTCCGCGTGAGACAAAGAGTTACATCCGGTTTAAACCCCAATGAGTCGGTTAGCCTGCTAGCATGCTAACTGTTAGCACCTCCAGCTGGGACACAAAAACACACTATACACAAAATATACACTTGTTGTTTTGCTCCTCTTTCTCCTCGTTGTTCTTGTTTTCCCTCCTTGTTGTTTCTTTTCGTCACATTCTCCTCCTCTTGGTTGTTGTTCTCCTTCTCCCCTTCTCGTTTGTTCTTTTTCTTCTCCTCCTTCTTCTCTTCCTCACAACAGTTTGTTCTTCCCCTCCTTGTTGTGCCTTTTGTCATATTCTCCTCTTTGTTGTTGTTGTTCTCGTCATCCCTTCCTCCTCTTTGTTGCCTTTTTCTTCTCCTCATTCTCCCCCTCTGGTGTTGTTCTCCTCCTCCCCTCCTCATGTGTTCTTTTTATTTCTCCTCCTTCTCCTCTCTGTTGTTGTTCTTCTTCCCCTCCTTGTTGTTCTTTTCGTAGTGTTCTCGTCCTCCTCCCTCTCCTCTTCGTTGTTATTCTCCTCCTTCTTTCCCATCTGCTTCTTGTTGTTGTTCTTTTCTTCTTCTTCTCCTCCGTTTCAAGAAGCAGGTTTAGTGTAAACTCAGAGTTTGTTCACCCTGAGGGATGATGAGGGAAACTCTGGCTTGTTTCACATAGGGAGGTAACTAAAGCTCAGGCTCAGTCACCATGGTAACTAAAGCTCAGGCTCGGTCACCATGGTAACTAAAGCTCAGGCTCGGTCACCATGGTAACTAAAGCTCAGGCTCGGTCACCATGGTAACAGAGTGTAAAAAATGTAATTTTCCCACTGGGAATTAGTAAAACATATGGATTATGATTAGTGTGTACATTAAATGTTAACTGACAACACTATATTACATTACATTTAGCTGAAGCTTTTATCCAAAGCGACTTACATTGCATTTTTAACTCGTGTTTTTTTTTTACATTTTTGCCAAGGGAGCAATTAGGGGTTGGGTGTCCTGCTCAGGGACACTTCGACATGGGACATGGAGCAGCCGGGGTTCGAACCGCCAACCTAGCGGTTCTCTACTGCGCCACCGTCAACCGTTGATTGGAACTTACTGCAATTTTCTCCCACGATGTTACTTTTCTGTCTAATCACGGGTTCATACTCGTCGTACGTTTGCATTAATATTTGCAGCTCAAGAGGGGTGAATATATTGTTTGTGGTGGTTGTCATGGTAACTCGTAGTATCATGGCTCCATTCATGCTGCCTTCATACTGTGATGCTGCACGCGCTCAACTCTGAAACCAGAAACTCTGAGTTTCCATCTCAGGATAAATCAAGTCAAAGTTTAGGGTTTACTTGAAACGGACTTCTGGTTCTCTCCGTTGTTCTCCTCCACCATCTTCTCCTCAGTGTTCTCCTCCTTCTTTTCCTTCTTGTGGTTCTTGTTATTCTTGATCTCCACCTCCCTTTTCTCCTTCTGTGTTTCCAGTTTCCATAAGGTTTGTGTTGCATGTCTACATGATGAAGAGTAAGGCAGATGAAGAAGATTACTGGAACAGCTCCAAGTTCAAAGCCTTCACCTTTGATGATGAAGATGACGAGTTCAGCAGGGTAAGACCTACATATATAAATACACACACCTGTACAGCTGAACTACCTCTGACTTGTGTTTCTCAGTTAAAGGAGTCGAAGCGGGCGGTAAACAGCATCCGCTACCTGGTGGAGGAAGACGATGATGAAGAAGAGGTGGAGAAGGTCAGCTGGAGCGGAGAGCCTGTCGGCAGTAAGACCTGATTTTTTTTTTCTGTTTTTAGTGTTGTGCTATGATTGGCTGCAGCCTCATTGTCATGCGTCTCCTCAGGTATTTCCTGGTCGGTCAGTGAGACGGCAGCGTCCAATCAGAAAGCAGACAGAGAGCCCGCCTTCCCCAAAGTCAGCGCCGACTCGGGACCCATGAGCAGGAGTCACTCGGGTTACTCGCTGAGCTCGCTGTTCAAAGGTGAGAGCGGAGAACCGGCGGTGACCTGAACCTGAACACACACTGAAAGTCACATTTGTTTCTCTGCAGGAAAAACTAAAGGAGGAAACTTCCAGTCACTCGCCGACTGTGAGTGACCTCCACAAACACAGGTTGGGATATTGATTGATATTGATTGATTGACAGATTGATTGATGTTTTAGCACCCAGCGACCCGTCTGTCAGGCTCTATGCCCCAGAACTAAGGAAACCCAAGTCTGAATACAAGGTAAGAACAAGCTGTCATAATGTATGATCTGATAAATGATTAATAGTCTGAAGATGCTTATCAGGTACTAATGATGATGTCATCATGTTCTGATATCAGGATTATGTCAGTGATTGGTCTCCTGAAGAAACGGTCCAAAGAATGCAGCAAGGAAAGGTATGACCTCTGTGTAGAGGTACTATAAATGAGGTAGTACTTGTATCGTAGTATTAGTTTGTATAAATACACTTTTCAATCTTTTAAAGTAAAATGTACCACGTTGTACTTGTACTTTGTTTCAGGTCGTGTCACTAGAGAAGTTTCGTTCTCTTCAGGATAAACTTTTGCTTCTGGATTACGCCGTCAACGCTCACGATGGAAACGTCATCACTGCTGTGATTTCATTGATTACTGATCAACAACAACAATAGTATCATTGATGCTATAACTGAAAATGACATGTTTTTTGATCTACTTTCAGGTTTTAATTTATTTAAAGAGGACTCTGAGTAAAGGTGAGCCTGTTCACGCTGTCCTCGCCCCGGAATCCATCCCACCTGTTGTCATTGATTCTGTGTGTTTTCTTTAGAGGTTTTGTTTCGAGAGCTGGAGTCCAGACAGACGGCTCTGAGGCATTTGATCCACTATCTGACTGAGACCAGAGACCAGAGGCTTCTGTTGGAGCTGCTCAGGTCTCTACTCCCACCTGGACACACCTGGTGCTGTGTCAGCTTTTATCTGATGGGTTTTATTCTTCTGTTCCTCCTCAGAGCTCTGGGCAGGATGGAGGATGTGGCGGTACGTACGATACGCTACTAAGCACCAGGAGTACACAGTCCTAGTACTGAAGTATCATCAGTACACATGTCTCACCTGCTGTTTCCATCGCGACAGCTGTTGCAGTATAAAGAACACCTGAGCATCGCTGATGAAAACAGAAGGCGGGACTTTCTAAAGAACTGCCTGAGGTGAGTACCTCTTGTACCACCGTACTAAAAATACTCTAAAACGATGGACCTTATCTAATATACTTTGATCTCTTTAATATTAAACACATCAGCGACGTCACCAGTGGCAGCAAGTCTGTTTGTTGTTGGTTTAAGTTTTGCTTGTTGGTTTCCAGTCTTCCATTTTCCCCAGAAGATTCTGCTCATGTTCAGGATCACTACACTCTGCTGGAGAGACAAGTTATCATCGAGGTAAGAGACACACAAACTCCTGTAACCGCTGGTAGACTGTGGCCTGTAAAGTTGAATCCGTTGCCAGACCACCGACCGACAGGCAGAACGTGGTGGAAAGGTGGAAGTTTTCCAGAAGTTTCCCAGAAAAGCATCAATCCTCAACATGCCAATGATCACGACGCTGTACTACTGCTGTTTCTACCACTACACCGAGTCAGAGGTTAGTCTGAGGGTAACTAAGTTAAGCTATAACACAGAGATGAATGTGCCCTGATTCAGAAAGGAACCACATTATTTAAAGCGGTTTAACTGAACCAGATCGCTGAGCGTGTTTTCTGTTTCCAGGGAACCTTCAGCTGTCCATTAAATATCCGTCAGACTTTCAAGGTGAGTAGAGATTGTTTAGACTTATTGAAGGTAAAGATTGTTTCCATGGTCTCTGATCTTTGACCCCAGATTTCGGAGAAGCAGTATTTTGTGACGGCGTTGGCAGCTCGGGCGAAGCTCAAGGCGTGGTCGGACGTGGACGCTTTATTCACCAGCAGGAACTGGCTCGGCTTCACCAGGAAGAAATCACCGCTCAGCTTCCAAAGAGTTGTTGACATCCTGCAAAAAAACTCCGCCCCCACACAGGTGAGTGGGGTGGGGCCAAACTTCCCCATCATTGGAGAGGGCGTTGGATTGACAGGTGTGTCAGTTCTGTGGTTTGATTGACAGGTGTTGCAGAACTACGTGGCGCTGGTTGATGATGCGGAGCTCCGGATCTCTTTGGCTCAGAAACATAAATGTCACGACATTGTCATCAACGTGAGGCACACGATATTAACGCTTCACTCTGATTTAAGGATAATTTTTGATATTCCACCAATGAGAATCCTTGCAGCCATCCCTGCTTATGTTAATGATATTGTTATGACTGTACTGTCTCTTGGCCAATCAGACGTACCGGGACCTGAAGGACCGGCAGCAGTTGCTAGGATACCAGGTGAAGTTGAAGAGAGGATCAGCGGAGGAGAGGAAGATCGACGAGCTGCTCAACAACCCGGTGAGGAGGAGGAGGAGGAGGAGGAGGAGGACGACGACATCTTCCTCCCCATGTGACCTTTTCTTATTTCTTTTCTTTCAGCAAATACGGTGGAAGAACTGATGACCTGAAGACTTTGTTTTAAATAAAAACCACTTTTTCCTGTGTGACGATAAACGGCGTCACCGTGACAACAGAACGCAACAGACGAGCACTTTGTTTGGCTCAGTACACTGGTTCTTGTTGTTGGGGGTTTTGTTTCTGCTGAGTCATCTGTTTGATTCAATGTTTGGATAAATAAATTAAAATAATTTAAATGTACTCTTTACATGGAGGAGAGGAAATTAAATGAAGTTTGAGGTTCATGATCAGATATCAATTTAAAACAATAAATAAAACTCAATGTTAAAAGTTAATGTTTTTATTATCTGTCCATTAATATGGGTGAAGGACATCACATTGTCCATCATTTGATTATATAGTGGCTACGGAAAGTATTCAGACCGCTTTATAGTTTTCACTTTGTCATTGCAGCCATTTGCTCAAATCTATTTCTGAAGAACCTGAAATATCACAGTCATGAGTATTCAGAGCCTTTGCTCAGTATTGAGTAGAAGCACCTTTTCAGCTGCTACATGAGTCTTGGGAATGATGCAACAAGTTTTTCACGCCTGGATTTGGGGATCCTCTCCAGCTCCGTCATGTTGGAGGGTGAACGTTGGTGAAAAGCCATTTTCAGGTCCCTCCAGAGATGCTCAGTTGGGTTTAGGTCAGCGCTCTGGCCGGTCCGGTCAAGAAAGGTCACAGAGTTGTTCCGAAGCCACTTTGTTATAGCGGTGTGCTTGGGGTCATTGTCTTGTTGGAAGGTGAACCGTCGGCCCAGTCGGACGTCCTGAGCACTGAGGTTTTCTTCCAGGAGATCTCTGTACTTGGCTGTATTCATCTTTCCTTCAATGGCAACCAGTGGTCCTGTCGCCGCAGCTGAACCCCCCATAGCACGATGCCACCACGTTTCACTGTTGGGATTGTACTGATTGTATCAGGCAGGTGATGAGCAGCGCCTGGTTTTCTCCACACGTGCCGCTTAGAATTAACGCCCAAAAGTTCAATCTTGGTCTCTTCAGACCAGAGAATCTTATTTCTCATAGTCTGGGAGTCCTTTGTGTGTTTTTTGGCAAACTCTATGCAGGCTTTCATATGTCTTGCACTGAGGAGAAGCTTCCGTCTGGCCACTCTGCCATAAAGCCGACTGGTGGAGCGCTGCAGTGATCGTTGACTTTGTGGAACCTTCTCCTGTCTCCCTACTGCGTCTCTGGAGCTCGGCCACAGTGGTCTTTGGGTTCTTTACCTCGCTCACCAAGGCTCTTCTCCCACGATTGCTCAGTTTGGCTGGACGGCTCAAGTCTGGGAAGAGTTCAGCATTATGGAGGCCAATGTGCTCTAAGGAACATTGAGTGCTGCGGAAATGATTTTGTAACCGTGGCCAGTTCTGAGCCTCGCCACCATTCTGTCTCTGAGCTCCTTGTGCCGTTCCTTCCACCTCCTGATTCTCATTTCCTCTGACACACTGTGAGCTGTGAGGTCTTATAAAACCCAGCAGGACTCCAATGAAGGAGAACCATCTCAAGGAGGATCAGAAGAAATGGACAGCAGGTGAGTAAAATATGAGCAAAGGGTCTGAATACTTATGACCATGTGATCTTTCAGTTTTTCTTTTTTAATGAATTTGATGATTCAGAGCGGCGTGGCAACGCTTAAACGATGGAGGGACGTATGTGTCGACCGTGCATGCTACATCATTTGAAAAATTAAAATGAGTCGGACTCTGTACACGTGTTACTAGTCAGACTAGGCAGCTTAACCAAACATTGGCCAACATGCATATAAGACGTTGTGCTGCTTTCAAGATGCGTTACTTTGTCACGCGCAAGTTAGAAAAACTATTTACGGCATCATGGGTGGTAAAAATACTCATTTGCATATGAATGAGGAGGCGGGTCCATGGGATTTGACCTCGCCTGCTTCTTCGCCTTTTCTTTACTTTCAATGAGTTGATGTTCAGAACGATCACATTGATTATTAAACATTATGCTTTCAGAGTAAAATCTCTTCCTGTTGTTAAAATAAAAGAGTAGAAATAGTATTTTATGAACATGTCAAATACTCGGATATTTATACTTTACTTACTTATATATAAAGCTGTTACTACAAGTAGAAACTCTGAATCCGTGTGAACATAGTGAAAGAGGTTTTAATCCTCAACTTTATATAATAATCATAATTCACTGATGGATGTTGATTTCAGTCTGACGTTGGTTCGGTCTGACGGTGGTTCTGACCGATGTTGGTTCTGTCTGACGGTGGTTCTATGTGATGATGGTTCTGTCTGGCGGTGGTTCTATCTGACGTTGGTTCTGTCTGACGGTGGTTCTGAGTGATCTTGGTTCTGTCTGACGGTGGTTCTATGTGATGGTGGTTCTGTCTGGCGGTGGTTCTATCTGACGTTGGTTCTGTCTGACGGTGGTTCTGAGTGATCTTGGTTCTGTCTGACGGTGGTTCTATGTGATGGTGGTTCTGTCTGGCGGTGGTTCTATCTGACGTTGGTTCGGTCTGACGGTGGTTCTGACTGATGTTGGTTTTATGTGATGTTGGTTCTGTCTGGCGGTGGTTCTATCTGATGGTGGTTCTGTCTGGCGGTGGTTCTATCTGACGTTGGTTCGGTCTGACGGTGGTTCTGACTGATGTTGGTTTTATGTGATGTTGGTTCTGTCTGGCGGTGGTTCTATGTGATGGTGGTTCTGTCTGGCGGTGGTTCTATGTGATGGTGGTTCTGTCTGGCGGTGGTTCTATGTGATGGTGGTTCTGTCTGGCGGTAAACCTGCACTTACTACTGGCAATTATTTGAATAATTTCTGTTATAGGAGTTGAATTGTAGATCTTCTATATTGTACATTGTAGTCGGTCCATCAGGAGACGAACGAATGTTTTTAATTCTAACTATGAACAACTTGTTCTATTATGTTTATCAAATAAATAAACAACAAGACTCTTCAAATTATTTTATTGAGTTTCTGTTCCATAATTACAAATATTCTTTGACTGGTGAAACAAAGCAGTAGTGTCCCCCCAGACTCCAGCCAACCTCAGGGGGTCGGAGGTCCGAGGGCGGGGTTAGGGTGGTGCAACAGGAAAGATCCTCACTGACACAAAATCAAAGATTATTTTTCTCCTACGACAACAATATTGATAATGTGCAATTTAACAAAACTTTAAAAATTCATACAGTGTTTTTTAGAGTGAGACCTCAGTCACAGTTAGCCCGGCGGCTAACATCCCGCTAAAGCTTATCAGCAAGTTATTTAATTAAGAAGAGGTGGTGATTGGTCCCACAGGGCCGATCAGACTAAGGGTCAAAGGTCACACAGCAGCCATCAGCACGGTTGAAACCAGGGGGCGGGGCTTACCAGCAGGTAAAATCCACTAAATAAAAGCAACTGGAAGCTTAGACTCTCCCCACCATAATAAAATCATCAAGTAAAATGTAGTTTGCAGCTGGATGGGTTCATAAGACCCCTCCTCCCTCACAGAGACAGGGAGGGGCCACAAGGTGGGCGGGGCCTCACGGATCCATCTCAAGGCCATCCAGGGTGAGCTGGCTGCGGTGGGGGGAGTTGGGACTGGGGGGGCTGCTGGGATTAGAGCTGTTGGATGGGGTCGAGTGTTTGGTGGAGTCAGAGTCCGGCTGGAGGGAGCATAAGAAAAAAAGACACGTCAAGAGAGACGGGTGGAGAGAAAGAGACGCTCTTCCTCCAGCAGTGTCCTGTGACCTGATGGAGGCAGAAGAACTACAGATTGTCGTACTAGCTCTCTGCAGGTAGGGGGCGCTGTGACAGAGGGAGTTTACTCTCTTTACCTCTCGGTCCAGGTCCGGGTCCAGTTCAGAGACGCTGCGCGATGAAGCTCCTCCCCCAAAATCTAAAACAGTAAAAAGAGATTAAATGCTATGACAGTTCCGTGAGATCAAAGTGGGCGTCGCTTGCAGCCTCAGCAGAGACCACACCCACTTTAACTCAGACCACGCCCTCAGCTCGGACTTATGTAGTTGTGTGTGTACCTGAAGCTGTGCGTGTGATGTGAGTCTTACTCCTCTGTTGTCGGGAGATGCTGGAAAGTGGGCGGGGCTTATCTTTAACTGGGTCATCTTGAGAGGAAGGCATCACACTCTACACACAAACACACACATTCATTCAAAACAAAATCCACAGATGAAAGTAGGGTTTTATAAATCCTGGGTATCCAATAGCCCCTGAGGAACAAGATCCCGACCCCGGGGGTGAAAGGACAGGAAGTAGTGAGAAAGGCAGGAAATGAGGGGCAACGATTAAAGTCGTTTAAAGGCAACAAAATATCAGAAGACTGATTTATATGAAGGAAAGTGCAGAATAAAGTGAAAGCAGACAAGATGTTTGGAGAGTCAAACAAAGCAAGCAGAGGGAGTGAGCGGATGAGAGGTGGAGCATGGGGGAGGGAGACAGAGAAGGGCTGGCCTACCATTCCCAGAGAGGAGGTTGAGGGGGAGGAGGAAGAGGAGGAGGAAGGCTGCAGGAGGCTCTGCTGGGAGGAGGAGCAAGAGGAGGCGTCTTTCTGCAAGAAGGCGCCGGCCGACACCGACGTCATGTGATAGACATGCTCAAAGTTGGAGGGGGGAGAGATGAGGGAGTGACGGTAGGAAGAGGGAGATGGAGAGGTAGAGGGGGAGAAGGAGATGACATCACCGACCTGAAGATCAGGGGGGAGGAGGACGGATGGGGGGAGAGAAGAGAGGAGTCATTGTGATGGACAGCGCTGTCGGAGGGGAGATGAGGGAGAACATGCCGGCAGGAGGAGGTGCAGAGACGAGGAGTTACCAGAGGGAGGTCCATGAGGACCTGCATGCCGTCTCCTGGTCCCATGTGGGCCACGTGGTTAAAGTTAGTGGGATTGGAGATCATCTTTGATCTGAGCTCCGGATCCCTCAGCATCTCCCTGGAAACACACAGCGACACACATCAGCACGCGTCTACACACACGGCTGCTACACACAGCAACACACACGAAGGAGGAGTCACCTCCTTTGCTGAAGACGCTCCTCCTCTGGAACCTTAAACAGGAACTTCCTCTTGCTGCGCGTTCGAACCATCAACTTCCTGCTCTGGTCCGACGTCTCCGGGATGGTGAGGTCTCGCTCTGAGGACAGGCAGGTAGAGACATGTAGAGACAGACGGGTGGAGACAGATACGTAGAGACAGGCACAAGCCGTTACCTGAGGAGGTGTTGCTGAAGTAGATGAGTCGAGGAGGTTCTGAGCTCAGCAGGTTCAAAGTCCCTTCAATATTCAGAGGTCTGATCTGAGGACAGAGGCTGTGATGTCATCGACCGCTGCTACACTGTGATTGGCTGGTTCCAGCCGTGCCGAGTGCTGGTTGTTACCTTGCGGAGGGAGATGGTCTGGACCCACTCGGTGGTGTGAATGTCGAAAACGTCCAGTCCATTCTCACTGTAGACGGTCAAGTGGGTGGAGTTGGAGCCTGGAGAGAGACAGATGGTAACATTGCTCAGAACCTTTACGATACGAAGTATAAAACCAGGTTCCACATCAGAACTCGTGTTGACAACGTACTGCATGCCAGCGGCGTGGCGGGCCACATCAGCTCCTGGGTCCTGGAGCGGCGGCCTTGCCCGTCCACGTAGACTCCGAGCTGGCTGAAGCACAGCAGCAGTTCGGTGGGGCCCACCTGCAGGGCGTGGAGGGCGTCCAGCGACTGCTGAGCCAAAAAGGCGAGCGACGGGTCGGCCGGGTTCACCAGGCTGATGGGGGACGACTCCCCCTGCAGGGCCAGCAGAGCGAAGCCCGAAGGATAACCCACGCACAGCCGGTCCCTGACCATGCCCAACCACTGCACCCCGCCGGGGGCCTGCACCTCCCACAGCTTCTTGTGGTAGGGTTTCACCCGGGAGATCTCGTAGCACAGAACCTGGGGGATCAGAACTACTGCGTTAGAGCAGGATGAGGACCATGGTCCGAGTTCTGGTCCTTCAGAATCACCAACCTGACGTTTGACAGCAGCCAGCAGGCAGGATGGGCCTCCGGGTCGCAGCACCCCCGTTGTCAGAGCCTGGCAGCCTTTGGTGTCAGTGAGCTTGAGGTCGAAGGCGGACTCTGCTCCCTCCAGCGCCCCCCAGTGGTGGAGGTGAACGTGGCGATTCCGACCGCAGAGAAGAGCAACGATCTTCTCCTTCGGGATCAAATCGATCTGATGAATCTTCTTGCTGTCCGCTGCCCGTACGATCACTTGACAGAGAGACATCAGAAGGTGAGACATGTACCGATTATCACCCGTCTGAAGGTCTGTCTGTCTGTCTCACCATCTCTGGTGACCTCCACCACAAACAGCCCGTCTTCGGTTCCCAAAGCGATCCTCTCCCGGTCTGCAGAGACCAAGAACGTGGAATCATCAGAGAGAACATTCTGCGAACGTGTAGTACTCATGGGACAGCAATGTTTCCCTGGTCTCCCCACACAGGACAGTTCCGCCCCAAAACTTGCACATGGCGCTCGTACCGGCAGACAGACTACTACCCCTCTAGTAGTACTAGAGTCTGTTAGTAGTAGTACTGAATACACTAGTACCAGTCCATTCGTAGTGGTACTCGCTCACCAAGGACAGCAGCAGACAGCGCAGTCTTGATGAGGGGCAGCGATGCGTCGTAGGCCTCGTGCAGGATGTGGACCTGTTGGTTTTTCAGGAGGTTCTTGGTCAGGATGCCCTGCAGACCCTCCAGGATCCGGACCCACTTCCTTTTCTCCACCTCGCTCTCCGCCAGCACCAGCAGAGACACTGCCGAGAGCTGTGAGATCAGTTGTGACGACGACACCTGAATGGGGCGAGGACAACGGATCGGGGTCACAGGGAGGTCAGAGGTCAAATAGCGAGTGGTCACAGAGGGTGGGTCTCCTACTCTAAAGATGCAGGGGATATCCTTTCTGGTGGCGTGGATCACATCCGACGCCAAGACTGAGCTGACGGAAAACTCCTCGTCTCTGGAAGACAAGAGGACAGATGAAACGCTTCAGCTGGACTCATAATTCAACCTCAAAAGCTTCCGTAGAAGAAGGCTGACAGTCACCTGAGATCCAGAACCAGACTTGCACCAACCCCCGGCTGTGTCGACTTCCCCTCCGGGACGTCGTAGAGGAACAGCTTACAGTCAGAGACCAAGGCGAAGGCGCGCTGCCATCCCTTCTTCACACCGCTGGGTTTGGGGATCTGAATGAGGGGGGTGGCCATGAGTCTGCCGCCACATCACCTCATCGCTAACCCTGACGTAGCCTCATGATCTTATGTGTTACCCCGACGTAGTCCTTGTAGGTGGTACCCATGTCCCATGACCTCACTTACTCTGACGTAGCCCTTGTAGGCGGTGCCAATGCCTCTCTGGACGTCTATGCCCTGTGGCCTCTTGGTGTGCTCGGCTGGGATTGGACAGACCAAGGGGGCGTGGTCTTTACAGGAAACGTGACAGATGAAGGAGCAGACTGAGGAAAGACAGACAGACCTTTGGGTTGACTAATCTGAGACAAAGAACTACATCATGTTGATTGATAAGCGATCAACTGGTGGTGTTCGTGACCTTTCAAGATTGGACACACATCTCCATGAAGGTCTGAAGTCTCTTCTGACAAAATCTGTGATGGACCTGATCTACCTGCTAGGACGAACTCATCTGTGTAGAAAACTGGCACTACAACTAATATTGGTATGGATTTGTCTCCAAGACTGGACTCTTATCCAACGTGTGAAGTTTAACACACTGAAGTTACAAAAATGTCCTGATTCACAGATAAAAGCTCTTTTCACGTTCTAAAATGTGATGTAGATCTGGTAAATTGTCAGAAGGCTTCTAGCATCAAACTGTGCATCAATGTGTGTGTGTGTGTGTGTGTGTGTGTGTGTACCTTCACAGGCGTATCCTTGTCGGAGGAGTCCGACCATCAGGGAGGTGCAGTGTGTGCACTGAGTGGGGCTGGAGAAGGTCTTGATGCTCAGCTGGTGAGCTTTGGGCTGTGAACACAAATGTGAGGAGTTACAGACGGAACCACCACAGTCCTTCTGGACCAGGTAACTTCTCCACTGATTTCTGTGGACAGCAACGGTGTGTCTAAACCCACATTACACCTTCCATATCGGACAGTCCTACAAGGTCTCACATGGAACACTAGGTTCTGTTTACATCCACCAGCGTCCGCTTGGATCAGAGAAGGTCCACCTGGTCCGTCGGGGAATGTCGACCAGGGTCCTTTTGTACGGACAGGTTTTGTAGACCTGTCTGTTGTATTCACTGTTCACAGGTGAGAATCATACCTTTGGCGTGGTCAGTGCTGAGCTCTGGTAAGTGGGGGAGGGGCTCGCTGGGACGGACGCAGCTTTTACTTCCTGTTGAAACAAACGGGACCAGATAGAGGAAACGTAAAGGATCCACGGTTATCTTCACCCTTCCATCCCCATGGCACGGTGACAACATGTTTCACCAATCAACCAACACACAGAAGATCCACAAGAGGGAACTTTACATCAACAGCTTCAGTTCCTTGGTTTACGAGCTTCCCCTGAACGCTCCATGAAGACAATGGTGCTTTTTGATACAATGACTTTAGAAGTTGATGCCCTGAATACAAACGTTCTGTGTTGGTAACTGACCTCCTGCTCTGAGGTGGTGGAGGGTGACGGGGGCGTGGCCTCCGATTTTAGGGGGGTGGAGTCAATGTCCGTGGTCTGCGTGCCAAAGAGAGCAAACATTGAACTGTTGACACATTTAAAGATGTATGAAAACCGATGATTAATGGAAATAGTTTATTACGTTTTCTGAATTCACCCCTCATTGTGATGATGGCCAGTTCATCATCAAAAGAAAATAACCCGATTTAACAGATTTTTCTGCAAAAATAAATTATATTCTTCAATCTATAGTGAAGTTATTTTAATGCTTATGTTTTTTTCTGGATATTTTATCAATCATTGTTCATAATCCACATGAACTAACAATACGTGCATTTAACCATAAGGTAACAAACTCAGAAGGGCAAGAAACAAGAGATAATAGATATTCTCTTATAATAGACCTCCTTCCACCATTTAGGAGCAGGACAGCAAAGAGTGGAGATCTAGTCGAGTGTTTTGCTCTCAGTGGGGAGGAACAAGCAGTTTATCACATGCAGCGCGGAGAGGTCAGAGGTCAGAGGTCAGAGGTCGGGATGGACCATGGATGCAGCCGGTAGCTTAGTTAGTTAGTTAATACCATCCTGTTCTTCGCTAAGGAACCGGTTTGTATCCGATTTGCATTTCACTCCACATAGTTTATAGTTACGTCACCCAGCTCTGGTCTGACCGCTAGCTGCCCCGGAGGATTGTGGGTAAACAGGGTTCTTGCACCATTTCAAAAGTAAAATTTAATGCTTTTTAAGACCTCAACAAATATAATTTATGACCCAAAAATGTCACAATTTCTTTGGAATACGCAATTTATTGCCTCCTACAATGGAAATCAAAACTTTTTTCAAATTAGGAGACAGTATAATAACTGACAACAACCCTTCCAACACTGTTTGGCCAATATAGATGTAAACAATCAAAGTGATTCCTTGTGATGCAGAACAGAGCCAATAACACACTAAACAACACAACGCATTGTGAATCGGGGAACATGGCAGCAAAGACGCCACGTATGTCACCATTAGATTTAAATGAATTGTGCCTCGTCACAGTACCTCTGCCTTTTGGGTGTCTGGTGTTGAAATGAAACCTGTTCTCAGCCGACTGAGAGGTGGCGTGTGAACTTGTAACGTCGTTGCAGGGATTACCCTGGCCCCGCTATGGCTACGGCTAGCTGCTGCAACGTATCGCTGGTGCTTTCCTTCTTTCATGTGCGACTCGGCGGCTTTGAGCCCCGTGGTCCCTGATGAAAAGGTCTTTTTGCAGAGTTTACACATCGCCTCATTGTTGTTTTCAACCGGCGCCGACCGCCTCCTAAACGCGTCCTCTTCCATCCACTTGTTAAATTTGCACTTCCATCTTCTTTGCATTTTCAACCTCACATCGACAGCCGCGTGATGGCGACACGCAGCCTGACGTCAGCGTCTGTAGCCGACGTACCGTAAACAGATATTCAATTGCGGAGACTCATTTCGCACTAAATGAATCAACTATTAGATGTTTTACGATGCGCCGCTGTGCTTTATCGTCGGCATTAAGCGCACCGGCAAAAAAATGAATACCTACAGCAACTTTACGTGAAATGTAAGACAATTTAAGACCTTAATTACCCGAATTTTAATTTAAGACATTAAGACTTTTTAAGGACCGGCGGGAACCCTGGTAAGGCTTTTGGTATGCAGGGAATTGTGGGTAACATGGCAGAATAACTTACGTCTTCCCAGAGAGCAAACAGCGAGGAGGAGGAGCCAACTGACGCCTCCATGTCGCAGAGAGAAACAAAGAGCTTCAGACACTACAGCTGAGTGACATCATCATCATCATGTGACATCATCATCATCATGTGACATCTTCATGTGACATCATCATCATGTGACATCATCATCATGTGACATCTTCATGTGACATCATCATCATCATGTGACATCTTCATCATCATGTGACATCTTCATGTGACATCATCATCATCATGTGACATCTTCATGTGACATCATCATCATCATGTGACATCTTCATGTGACATCATCATCATCATGTGACATCTTCATGTGACATCATCATCATCATGTGACATCTTCATGTGACATCATCATCATCATGTGACATCTTCATCATCATGTGACATCTTCATGTGACATCATCATCATCATGTGACATCTTCATGTGACATCATCATCATCATGTGACATCTTCATGTGACATCATCATCATCATGTGACATCATGTGGAGTTCTAGCTTCATAACTGGGATCGCGTTAAAACCGCGCACCGTTTAGATTTCCCTTAAATAGACATTGTAATATTGTTTTTATTATTTTGAGGCGGGTGATATTCAGAGAAAAAGAATTTTAAAAAATACTAAATTAAAGCCAAAACTTAAATATTCTGATTAAACGGACTCTGGAAGGTCGGCTCGACCTCATCACGTCACTGTGGGAACGTGACCTTCGGCCTCAGGGGAGAAACACTGCGTGACGAGGTCACCGGGTAAAGAGGCTGGAAACACGCAGGACGGACAGACGAGAAGACAGACAGGTGACTCACTCTGAAGGTGAGATCAGGAGCCAGAGGAGACGTGTTGAAATATTCAAAAATGGAGTCTTGAAAGTCTGGAAGCTTCAGACCTGCAGAGAGACAGATGGAGGTGAACACGTGAGTCTAATGGGTCTCCTGGTCCAGACCCCCCTAATGGGTCTCCTGGTCCAGACCCCCCTAATGGGTCTCCTGGTCCAGACCCCCCTAATGGGTCTCCTGGTCCAGACCCCTCTAATGGGTCTCCTGGTGGTCTCACCTTTGTCCGAGCGGGAGCGGCTGTCCTCCATCTCCTTCTTCAGACTCTCCACCTGCTCCCCCATCTCCCGACTCCTCTCCTCAGACTCCTTTAGCTTACTGCAGACAGATGACAGACAGGTGAGGAGACGGGCAGGTCGGGAAGGAGAAGCTGTTGTCTCTGTGTGACCTCTGACCTTTCCATGTTAATGTTGGCAGCCTTGACTTTGCGCAGCTCCTCCTGAACCATCTGCTTGGCTCTGATCTCAGCATCCAGAGCCGA